TTTGATTTTTGTAAACAGAATAAAAATTATAACCACATAACCTGATAACTAGGCAAGTGAGAACAACCACTAAATTTTCAGCCTAATCATGTATCTCGAAGCTAACGTTCGTTTCGTCTGCCAGACGTTTCTTTCGTGTGTTGGTAGTATGTAAGTCGAAATCGTCTGGCAGCACGAAAACAGCTGATCGTTACGTAGTTTTCGTCTAGTTTGGAATTTTTTAAGGCGAATAGAAGACGAAAGTGAGACGACAATCGTTGAAAACAGACGAAAGGTTATTAGTGATCGTTAAGATGGAGGGTTCTGCCAGGAAAAGTAAGAAAATAAAAAATATAACTTGGTTTAAGGAAATATATTAATATTTATGCTTGCAGCGCGAAAAAAACTACAACCACTCAATTTGAAGTACTGGTAAAAGAAATGGAGAGAAATCCTGACCTGGCCAGATGTGTTGCAGTATTTGGATCTGATCGAGGAAGGGTAGAGGAGCGGTGGGAGGAAATTATGAGGAAAATTAATTCTCATGGTCCTCCTACAAGAACGGCCGTCGAATGGAAGAAAGTAAGCATAAGTGCATACATTGTATGTGGTAGATAAATGCTTGCGCACTATTTCCATTTTACTGACATTGATTTTTATTTTATTTTTATTTTTCAAGATATGNGGACAAAAAAGAAGATTGCCGAAAACAAACGAAGCCTTACTGCTACCGGTGGTGGCCCATTCCGTCACTCTCCGCTTTCCGAAATGGAGCAGGCCATAGACAGCCTGGTTTTTATTTCGAGGTCAGCAGCCCCGAGCGGCAGAGTTTTCGGCATTCCTTCGACGGCGACCTCTAACATGTCAAGACATTCGTCGTTGGAGGAAATGCCTCCTTTACTTGTGACTGAATCGCCAACACTTGACCAACGAAGGCAACAAACAACCACCCTTCAATCTCCTATAAGGCACAACCAACTAATAGGAAGCGCACCTTCCAAGAGACAGTGGCTGAATCTGCTAAAGTCCAAGCAGAAGCCGCTAAAGTGCAGGCTGAGGCTGCAAAAAAA